GGCCGCGGCGTAGAACGCGCTGGCCTTCGCCGCATGTGCCCCCGCGCGGGCATTCAGACGCTGCTGCGCGTGGCTGGCCGCGTGGACTGCGCCCGTGCCAAGCTTCACCGCCGCCGCGCCGTCCGGTTTGACGTTCAGGATCGCGCCGCCGATGAGGAGGAGGACCCACGGCGTGGATTTAGATTCCGGGATATTTGCAACCCCTATCTCCGCGCCCAGGATGTCCCAGACGCCGGCGACGCCGAGGCCGCTGCAGATCTCGGCCGCGCTGAGGACGACGACGCGGTCCTGCCGATCAGCTTCCCGCCGATGTCTCTGAGCCAGTTCCCGTCTTCATGCGGCCCTGGGACACCTTCGCCGGATCGGCTTGCTTCCCCGTTTTCAAGCCATGCGCCGCGTTGCCGACCTCGCATGGGAAGTGCGACCGCCGCAGCATCTCGACAATAATGAGTTCCCTCTGGAAGGACGCCCCGTCCAGGCGCACACGCCCGTCGTGCGAGATGCACCAAGTGATGGTCATCCCCACGTCTCGCACCCGCACGCAGGGCGTGTCAGAAGTGCATTTCGATGTCAAGTGGGCGTTGCCTCGCTCGGAGTTCGGGTCGTTGGGGTCCTGCACGAAAGTGTCCACGAAAATGCCTGCTACCGCGAGTGCCTCAAACCACTCCCACATCTGCTCCTCCACAGGGCAGTCCAAGGTCGACGACTCGAAGCATAGCTCGTCGGCCGTCGAAGGCGCCGTCGGCTTCCATCCTGGCTCGAGCGTCATCGTGAAGTGTTGCAGACGCGTCTTCGGGGGCCTCTCCGCCCGGAGGCGGCCCCACATACGTTTGAATATCGCCGTCATCCCCAAGTCTGGTCCCGTCTGCTGTTGGAATACAGGCGCCTCTGGGAGCTGTCATCCGCTTCCTGCTGCGCCCTCGGCCGCCCGCGCACCGGCAAGGCTCGGCATGTTCGGAGCCTGGGACAACGAGGTGCTCACCCCTTCGCCTTCGGACTGCGCCTCGCGGGGCGGCGCCGGCAGCCACAGCTGCGCCTGCGCGGGCTGCTACGCCGTGCGCTGCGCCTGCGAGTCAGCCTCGCGCTTCTGGCTCGCCACCTCCTGGAGGCGGGCTGCTGCGGCGAGGAGCTGGTCGATGAGCTCGAGGCGGCTCAGCTCGCCTCCGACACCCCCAGGGCTGCTGCAGCCAGCAGGCCACTCGGATCGTCGGCGCCTACTGCCGTGGTGTGCTCTCCGCCGCTGGTGCCTCCGTGCAGGTCCAGTGGCCCTGGCCGCATGTGCAGTCACGCCTCCTTGCCGATCGCCTGGCCAGGCGTTGGGTGCGCCGCTGAGTCCTCGGGGCGGCCCGCCTCTAGCGCTGGCGCCTCGCCGCGATCGCTGGCGGCGGCATGCGACCGCCGGAGGCGGCCTGGGACGGTGTCCGTTTTGATCTACTTCTCGGAGCCATCTGGGGTGCTGATCTTATCAGTCCCCGCGCGGATCTTGCACTTTCCTTCCAAGATGTATTCGAGGTATACCGCGGTCACCTGTCTTCGCAGCCATTGCCCCTTCGACTTGACCCATACCTCGCAATCCTCGCCCTGCATGTGCTCGGCGCTCCCACCCTGCGCCCTGCACATACCTCGCAATCCTCCTCCACCTCCTCCTCCTCCTCCTCCCCTTCTTCCTCCTCCTCCTCCTCCCCTCCTCCTCCTCCTTCTCCTCCTCCTCCTCTTCCTTCTCCTCCTCTTCCTCCTCCTCCTCCTCCTCCTCCTCCTCCTCCTCGCCTTTACCTACTCGTCCTCCTCCTCCTCCTCCTCCTCCTCGTCCTCCTCCTCTCTCTCCCTCCTCCTCCTCCTCCTCTCCTCCTCCTCCTCCTCCTTATCCTCCTCCTCCTCCTCCTCTTATCCTCCTCCTCCTTCCTCCTTCCTCCTCCTCCTCCCTCCTACCGTCCTCCTCCTCTCCTCCTCGTCCTCCCTCCTCCCTCCGCCTCACCCTCCTCCCCCTCCTCGCCATCCTCTTCTTCCTCATCATCCACGACCACCCATCATCATCATCATCATCATCATCATCATCATCATCATCATCATCATCATCATCATCATCATCATCATCATCATCATCATCATCATCATCATATCATCATCATCATCATCATCATCATCATCATCATCATCATCATCATCATCATCATCATCATCCTCATCCTCATCCTCATCCTCATCCTCATCCTCATCATCATCCTCATCCTCATCCTCATCCTCATCCTCCTCCTCCTCATAATCATCGTCATCGTCGTATCATCAGCATCATCACCCTCAATCATCATCATCATCAGCAGCAACATCCTCTTTACCATCATCAGCAGCATCGTTGTCATCACCATCACCATCATCATCAATACCACCATCATCATCATTAGCAGCATCATCGTCGTCGTTATGACATCGGTCAAGATGAGCGTCAGCATCGCCATCATAATCAGCATCGCCATTATCAGCCTCATGATCACCGTGCTTGTCGGCATCATCGTCATCATCAGCACCATCGCTATCGTCATCGTCGTCATCATCAGCAGCAGCATCAGCATCAGCATCCTCTTCATCATTATCATCACCACCATCGTCCTCATCATCATCATGATCATCATCATCATCATCATCAGTATCATCATCAGCATCACTGTCATCATCATCATCATCATCATCATCATCAGCATCAGCATCACCATCATCATCGTCATCATCATCATCATCACCATCATCATCGTCATCGTCATCATCATCGTCATAATCACCCGCCTCCTCCTTCTTCTCCGCCTCCTTCTCTTCCTCCTCATCCTCATCATTCTCCGCCTCTTCCTCTTCCTCCTCCCGCTCCTCCTCTTCCTCCTTCTCCTCCTCCTCCTCCTCCTGCTCCTCCTGGCCCCCTTTACGTTATCACCCTGCTCCTCCACCTCCCTCAGTCTGATCCTCTTCCTCGTCCTCCTCCTCGGCACCGTCATGTTACTCCTCCACGTCCTCCTCCTCTTCCCCCTCGTCCTCCCAAACCCAAGAGCAAGCCGCAAGCGTTCGAGAATCTCCGTCATCATCATCATCATCATCATCATCATCATCATCATCATCATCATCATCAGCATCAGCATCAGCATCATCATCACCATCATCATCACCACCATCATCAACATCAACATAATCATGATCACCACCATCATCATCAACAGCATCATCGTCATAATCAGCATTACCA